TTTTGTAGGCTAGCAAACAACGTAGCCCCTAGGCTACTAGCAGAAGCTCAGAGGAACCCTCAGCTGCTCTTCGGCCCCGGCTGCGAGGAGCTATTTAATAAGGTCTACTTTAAGACTAGATTCTTCACTAAGATTTGTCTACCCAGATAGGCTGGCCTACTTTTCTTTCTTTCTTTGATTTATGTATTTCACTTGTTGTACCCTGGTTCTCAAAACTAATTAAGGATAAGGGCTGTCCCGAAAGTGGGGCTTCTCTTTAAACTGTCTCTTGTAAATTAGCGTCTCTTCTTTTACACCCCCTGTAACCTAGGGCACCCCCCTAGCGTCATTTGCCCATATTGGGACTCTTCTAGGACCTAGCCCACGCGAGCTAGACTCCGCTTGACGTTAAATAGCAATAAATAAATAAATAAGATATATAACTTCTGAAGATAGTCCTAACAACTGGAACTCTTGTCCATATTAAATTTTATTTACGTAGGTACTGTAAGAGTGTGTCTACAATATATCACTATTTGGAAAAAAGTCCCGAACATAAAGAACATAAAGCATGCCCATGAATTGGTGACAAAATCATGAACTTCAATGCTGTCACTGACATGCTGAGAAGGCTTGCTCAGAAGTGGCAGAATGAAACCCATGCACCAGGTTGAATATATATTTCAGCTTTTGTTAGGGCCTTATGTGTGTGCGAACATCGGATGCGCGTTGAAAACATCAGACTTCACCCCAAAACATTTAGGCACATCTCCAACCTAACATTCACATTATCAGTCCCAACGAACAAAACCCTGCAATTAGCAAGCAAGTATCTGTCTAAAAACATAGACTCTAACAAGAACATAGTTAAGAAGCCACAGGAGGCGCTTTCAAGACGCACCAGAAAATGACTTCTCCAATACTTCATGTTCGGCAGATAATCGGAACTTGCTGTCTCTATGAAGCAAGCGAGGCAAAGAACAACACGCGCCGACTTGCGCATACGGTACTCATGTCCATACTCCAGGAAAGATATACCACGTTCTCTGGGAGATACCAGCGCATATTGTGCGAAAGCCAATCTGCCAGAAAATGCAAGCACACTTACCCATTGCCAAATCAGTCTCTGTGAACTTCAAACAAGGCAGCAACGGGTACAATTGCTATCTCCCCACGGAAGAGAGAGACATATGAGGAGGAGAATACCCGAAGAGGCTAGCAAGGAAGGCGTACAAGCCTTGAGCTCACTGATCAGAGCCAGGAAACGCGCAATTCGGCGAACTCGACAACAGAGAAAGCAGCACCGTGACAGTCGAATTTGGAGGTATTTCAGGGTGGAAATATGCAAAGCAAGATATCAAAGTAACTTCCAAGTTCTCAAGAACCTAGCTGACGAAGCCATCTTGATTTAGGACAACGCTCCTCAACTTCCAGCGCTCGAAAAGGCAGACCCGCTGCTCTTCATTTACTTGTTGCGATATCCAGGCTGAACAAATCCTCTGAAACAGTCAACTATCGAACTTCGAGAATCGAAAATCAACAGTCGAGAGGCCGGGCCCGTGTAGTTCAGAGTCGAATACCCATTGTCGTATACACATTGTGGCATTCAAACACTGTTTTCGAGCAGAATATGTTGAAGCAATGTTTCAACAACAAACACAACGTCCCAGCACCACAAACGTACTTATAGTTGGCATATTATGTATATCAGAAGCTGATCTCATCGGAAAAGCGAGCGGTATACACATGTGCTATGGTGGAGAGCTACTTCCATTCATTTGAATTGAAGCCAGAAGCGATCATCCGGCAATCTGCAGGATCACTAAGTGGCGGATTGAAGCTCAAATGCCTGGAAATAGTAATCCAATGAAGCTGCCCCGAAAGGATACCACCATGACAACATCTTTCTTCTCCAGGGCGACAACAAAGTGCACGACTCGAAATTGGGGCATGGAAAAATCGTACTGGATAGCCAAAGGAATTGAAGCATTGCTCAAGCAGACAGCCAATTGGCGAGTGTCACTATATCTTGGGTCATTCCTACGTTCTTCCAGCTCTGGCACCATTCTGGGATAGTGGCTATAAAGCTTTAAATATCAACTCAAAGTGCTGTTCAAAGTGGTGCGGTTAGACATAGGTAGCCCTTATTGAGTGGCATATACGGTCGCACAATAGAGGTCCCTTCCTTGCTTTGGGCGCCTGGATTGGGCACAAATTTTGTTGACCGATACATATATTGGCTTGAAGAATTGAAAATATATTGCATTGGGGTGGCCTGCATCTGGATTTTAATGATACTAATCATTGATGTTTCCCATCCGCCCCTAGGATGCCTCCAAGATGATCCTTGTTTTTTGGTATGTTTATATATTTGGTTTCTTGTTTTGTCGAACATATCGTTGTTGGCTGATGTACTATCTGGTGGAGGTAGAATTGGCTCCAACCTCGCTTGATATGTGCACTTGGTTGACGGACAAAGTTAGCTGTTCGTACCTTCAAGGGCATCTGTCGTTGTTGACAGCTGAAGGGAAGACTTATCTCTCGGTGTAGCATATATTTTGGGCTCGAGAAAGCAGCTCTTAGGGCAGTAACCCAAGATTGGCCCCGACGTCATTGTTGGGCCCGAAAGACGAGGAAGGTCAATTTAGAATCAATTGGTCTGCTAACCCTATGGAAAAGCCAATTGGCAAAATTAACTGTCTCCCTTCCATAAGAGACTGGTTGAGACAACGTGAGCTTGGTTTTGGCTGGGGCTCATTGACATGTATCTTCTTGACAATTGTGCTACACTTCAGCTTCAACCCCCAGAGTTGCTATTGAAAGAGAATACCCCTCATAGACTCCAATACTCAAGTTCGATGGATGGTTGCGTAGCCAGGTAGGAAGGGATGATACACTGAGCAGGTCGCCCTTGGCTGGCAATGTCTTCTTTTCGCAGCAATTGAACAACCTCATGTGCAGAAAATGCTCATACATTAGCACCCAGATTGGTAGGCAGCCCTTTGCAGCTAAGCTACTGCTGGTCGGATAGCTACAGAGCATCAATGAGGTTGAAGTCAAGCATACCTAGGATGCACGAGTTTCACTTTATATTTATTAGTCAGCATACAATCATCTCTCTGCTTACCGATATCGGTCGTTGGACGACCTCGAGGACGACGTCGTAGATTCAGCCTCAGCTCGGCTCGGCTTTGAATTCCCCGATTATTATTATTTCACCCTGTACAAATCTCACTTGAGTTTCAATATCATCAAACAATTGTCAATTGGTTCCAGTACTAAGCTATTAGTAGAGTGATCCGAAATCTCAAAGTAATAGTCCACCCTTCCTCTGCGTTGAAGCGACTACACCATGCCGGGCAATTCTTCTTCTCAAGATATCAAGTCCCCCGATAGATATCCTTCGTTATGAGTAGTTTCTCCTACCTTTTCGACGTTATGGGTCCTTCTTGTGACTCCAATACTCCAATACCTATGTATGACTCCGTATTGAGGCAAAATCCATCGTGAACGAAGACCGAATTTCCATCCCTTTCTCGTCGCAGTGGTTCATGTATGCCAAAGCTCTGGCCCATATAAATGCGGAGAGACTTGAGGCTGTTTGAGCAGATTTATTTAGCGGCCCCAAAAGTGGGTGATCTACCCATGTGATGCGCTCCACATCGACCTCATCTCAAATGTCTTCATTGGCCATTCCACCCTGAGTTTACCGACAACACACAGCCAGGAATACCGCACGTCCTTCAAGACTGCAGAGCTGGGGCAAATGGTAAATAAAACTTTCAAATGTGGATATAAGTGCTTGAAGCGGATGCCACTCTTCAAATAATCCCAGGTAAACATGCTCAAAGTACCATCATCATTGGCCTTGGCGAAGAACCTTACAAACAATTGAATCCTCAAATACTGCTTCGTACCGCTGATTGCACTATACATGTTGGATTTTTCTACTCAAATTGTCAAGTCAGTGTCTCGGTAACGAGCTGCACCGCAAAGATGGCACACGTTCCACGACACATTCAGATGGCCGAGGATACCTCCATCCTGGAACCACACGTAAGCTAAAGTTCTCTAAAATGCAATTGTAGAACCCAATGACCCGATTGTTCCTCTGCTTTCTCTACGCTATCAACATTTAAGGCTGACTTTGAAACTCAGTGGGGGTATGTTGAGCGCGTTCTTCCTTGCACCAACGATCCCGGTTCTTGCGAGTATTTGGATGCTGTATATTGGATGCACGATGTATCAATGCTGTATTCTTTCATCATGTGGGCTGTGATTGGGGGAGTTTTGGCGGTCGTTGTCGTTTTCAGAACCATGAAACCAAACCCCAGGGGAGCTTCACAAATCTCGATTTCAGAGAAGAACAAACCAGTTTCGAACGAGAGTGCTTATTCCAGAGCTTGGGCAGGAGTACGCTCATTCCTCCGGCGGAGACTTCTTCCAGAAGGGCTTGTGAGCGTATTTGGTCACGTAAGCCGCTTGCAGATTTTAATCTTATCAATTATGGTTGCGTATTTACTTGTGTTCTCGTAAGTAATTTCTCCAGCATTTTGGTTACTCTTTTTCGATGTAATATATATACTAACGTGGTATAGATTTGTTGGGATAGTATACAAAACATGGATCACGCCTGTCAAAAACAGCAATCTTCACAACAGACGAAGTGGCATTGGAGGGTTCTCGGACAGAATTGGAGTACTTGCTTATGCTTTGACTCCTTTAACGGTGGCTCTTTCGACACGAGAGTCTATCCTCACTCTTGTTACTGGTATTCCATACCAATCTCTCAACTTCCTCCATCGATGGTTAGGCCGAGTCATATATATCCAAGCAGCATTTCACACCTTTGGATGGACGCTGATTGAGGCCAATTTCTACCAACCACAACCAAAAGTCTATCGAGAATTTATAGGGCAACTGTATATGATTTGGGGCTGTATTGCAATGCTGTTGCTCAGTTTCCTCTTCTTTTTCAGTTTTCAGCGCGCCATAAGATGGACAGGACACGAGTTTTTCCGCAAGAGTCATTACGTTGTTGCTATGATTTACCTGGGAGCTTGCTGGGGTCATTGGAATCAACTAGCTTGTTGGATGATCGCATCACTTGGTATATGGGGATTGGACCGTGGGATTCGGTTTTTGCGAACTCTGTTGATCCACGTTGGATATGTGAATGGTTCACGAGGTAAGTTTATATGTAAATACTCTACCTCTACCAAGACTAATCGCTTCTAAATCAGACTTTGGCTTCCACTCAGCGCAATCCTCGATCGAGTATTTCGACGACCCAGATGGTGGTGTTGTTCGCATGGAATTCAAACACAACCACGAAGCTTGGGAAGTTGGTCAACATTTCTTCCTCTGCTTTCCAGCGCTCACAATCTGGCAATCGCACCCTCTCACTGTGGCATCAGTTCCAGAACCACATCCAGATTTACCACATCATACATATATAATCCGCTGCCGTTCAGGCGAAACTAAACGTCTAAAGGAATTGGCATTAGGTGATATCAACGGACGTGATGGGGCACCTCTCAGTTCTACCACCACACCGGTCATTCTATGCGGACCCTATGGCACAGCTCTTCTCCCTTCCCACCCAAATACCGGCCATGGGGCATCCAATATCCTTGCGATCGCTGGTGGAACCGGAATATCAATCACCCTTCCACTCGTGCTCGCTGCTACATCATCTCCTGCTTTCACTGGTGTCCCAATCGATTTCGTGTGGATGATTCGACGCTCCTCGAACAAGAAATGGATTGCAGCCGAACTCGAAGAACTGAAACGTCGTTCTCGAACGGAAAAGCCGGATCTTAGAATTCATATCTACATCACGCAAGAAAGTTCCGAGTCGGACAAAACCGAATTAGCTGAAGACCGCGATTCAACCTCAAAGACGGCAAATGAAATGATCGAGCCAGTTTCGAACTCGTGCTGCTCATCATCTTCAACGTCCAGCAACCCAAATTATAACATCACCTATATGGACGCGCAGCATCCTTCGCTCGGTAGCATCGTTTCGAACTTCCTGGAGAGCCGAGCTCAGTCTAAGTTGAAGACGAGGGTCGTCGCCAGTGGACCACAAAGCATGGGCGCTGATCTGAGAAGTGCGGTTGCAAGAGCAAATGACGGATCCAAGGTCTGGAAAGGAGACATGAGATGGGATGTTGAATTGGAATGGGATGATCGGATGGGTTGAGAAACCAGCTGGGCTTTTGGATAACTTCTTTGTATAAACTTTTATATTTGATTTAGCGTTTAAGATAACTGTCACGAACCCCAGCAATGAGGAAACATATTATGTATATTGTATTGTATGTCTTGCTGTTCAAGAACAGCTACTGCAAATTTGAACTATATACCATTCTCTTCACCTGCTCCTACCTTAAGCCGAATTTTGGGTATGGTTCCCAACATAATGTCCCTGTTTTGCCATCTATTTCCAGCACTGAGCGAACAATGGTCAATATCATCGAATCCAAGCAAATAATTGATTGTTCTAGATTCCTCGAAGTCCGCTCAAGAACTATATCTTCTATCTTCTTGTAATCTGGTGCTTAATCCACTTATTCAACAAGCATCAAGAACAAATCAGTGCCGAATTGACGATGCAAGTATGAGGGAGGGCAAGGAATGATATCGGAGTAGAGATGACAATATGGATTCAAGCGAAGATATCGAGGCACCTACTGTATCGTGGACACAAATACTGATATTTTCAATTCCCGTGTTTCAAAGACTGCCTACCGAGCTTGTTGTACTCGATGAATTTGCAAAGTATTTCAGCTTGGAAATCTTCGCTTCTTGAGTCCTCGCTAAATGCCGCCTGTTCATAGTGAAGACGAACACCGCCATCTAGCGAGCTATATATTCACTTTCGAAAGGCTCACAACGCGACGCGGACTTTGGCTCTCCGCCTACCGACTCCTCCGATCTCGAATGGTCGATCTGCAACTCCATCTGGGAGTCATCCAACGCCATCTCGCAGAACCAACCTCGCAGAACCTGCATCAGTCGCAAAGATGTGTATCACCGCCCGCATCAGTTACAACGACTGTAGCTGCACGCTTCACAGATACTACATCTGCCACTCGCATATCAAACACACCTGGCACCAGGTCAGATTAAGTACATTCCTAGCGTGGCGAAGGAGTTTGACTTACACGAATGTAGAAAGATAACAAACCCTGCCCTTATACCGCTGTTCGACACATCGTCCTCGACGCTCGTGCTTGTACCGACCCTTACCAACAAAGCTTCCACGAACAGTATGCGCCATTGGGAGACATACTGTCCGCCGCAGCTACTACTCAACATGGTAGTCAAGCCAACAACACCCGTCGTCCACCTGGATGTCTAGCCATACATGCAGACGAGTACAACGTCGCAACCAAGGTCTTGAGACGCTCGGACATGCGATTCTTGGAATTGGGCGAGGGTGGATACATGAGCGAGGACTGTCTAGCTGGAAAGTTCATGTGGGCTAGCGAGCACACTTGTGGTCTCGGTCGGCGAGTTGCGTGTACTTGGGCTCATCTCAGACCTGACAATCGAGTTCTCAACCCAAAAGCTATGAAGACACTTGAGGAACTTGCTGTGGAGGAAATAGTGGCCCGATCTAGACGAGAGGTACAACGCAATTACTTCCCTGTAAAGGCTTCGTCAAAGACCATGGACACGATCCAGGAAAGTGCTGGAGAGGAGAGTGACATGGAAACGAAGCAAGAAAAACTGCGAGCCATGCAAGATGAGATGCATTTCGTTCAAGTCGAGGTGGAGAGATACCTACGCTTCAGAAAATACATGGCTGCAGCACAGCATGAGAAGGCTCCAAGTGCCGCCGAGATTTTGGGTATGGAGATCATCTACAAGTTCTTTGAGGAGAAGGTGGGCGTACATACGGCATTGCTGACGAAGAAAGAGGCAGCTCGAACAGAGAATGAGTATAGAGTGAAAGTAAAGAAGCTGCAGGTCTCTCCTGAGAATGTAATGAATGAGGATGAGGCTGAGTTCGCTGCCGAATATGCTTCTCAAAATGGCTACAGCTATAACCCAGACATCAAGCAAGAGGGCCTTGACATGGACATCACGACACTTTCGGTGGTAAATCAATGAGAGAATATGGTGTGAGCTACGATCAAATATCACGTGTAAAGGTGTCGTCCTAATGGCGAAAAGCCGATCGTGTAATTAGTAACCAGGAAATTGCATCAGGAATTGACTTATGGCTGGAGATCAATGAATCGCTGTATCTGGGTATTTCTACCAATGTTTTACTGCTACAATTTCATCGTTTCTGCTCATTATTGTACGGCATGGCTTAGAAGAGACATGGCCATTGCACTGAATCAATCAGAAACTTAGATTGCTAAAAGTATTCCGTTCTTGACATCCATCCATGGACAACGAATATCACAACTAGCTTAAAGGGCAAATTTTCTGCATAGCTTACTAGGGTAGGCTCCCGAAATAAGGAAAATCCTCCTCTACGCACCTAAAAATGAACCAGCTTCAAAAAGACGTGATACCACAGGCAGAACCTTCTCTTACCCTCGAATTCAAGGGAGCTCATTCTATTGTCACTTTTGCCTCTAAGTCTTTGCTCTATTCTGTAACTGTTCTATCCATTGTAGCGGATTCCAATGCCGTACAGGAAGAAACGCCGAATCCGTGACAGATTTCCTGTACCTGCTGTCTATGTGAGATTACTAGAGTATGAGCTTCATGTATTTTGAAGGATATTTCTCTCTGACCTCAATCTGCAACGCGGTTTATTCCAAGTGCAAAGGTTAGACGAATATACCGCTTTGAAAACTGTCTTTTCCCGTCTATGTGGAACGTACCTCGCTTAGCTGTCAGAAGTTTTGGAGAACTTTTTGGAAACTCACCTTTCAATAAGTTTGATATACAGGAACAGCTTGGTTTCCTACTTGATGGCTAGAGTTATGCCTAACAAGATAAGCACTGTATTCTAACGAGCTTATAAAACATTGTGATATCGCCAGTATGTAATATAAGTACATGTGAGAGGCCAGACCTCGAATAGCTCAAAGGTGTGGTTTCGAATATTCAATTAAGAAGTGCGTGAAGACTACATACATACAAGCTCTTTCTCTATATAGAGAGAGAGGAAGAGCTTCTAGAATATTCCAAGAAACTGCTTAACAAATACATGATGTCAAGAGAATAGAACAGAAAAGTATAGAATTGAAGAGACTTGCTTGGCAGTGGGGTTATGGCCAGTGCTGAGCAGGGACTTTGGTCAGTGCTTAGCGAGGGCATGGCCCGAGCCTCCATCATGGGTTCCAACCCTCACAGTACAATCCTAATAGTATAGATATCAGACAGGCACTCATTGACACTTACAATTTCAATGACCTGTCAAGCGCTTAGATAAAGTAAGACACTTGCTTGTTTAGAAAAACAGCCATGTATTCTAGAAATTGCAGAATACTTCCATTTCTCTAGCGCGAAATTATTATTGTGGAATTCAAAAATGTGCCAACATGTACAGGAATACTGCTTTAATCCTTCTCGGCTATGAATATAAATAGAAAGAACTTGCGAATTGGGTCACAAGTGACATGAGTTCCCGTGGCAAAAGTCGAGGTTTTTGAATTTGCAGTTTTCCTTAATCCTCCAAATCCTATCAGTACTAAACAAACCTCAAATACAAAGAAACCGTCATTTCTTCACATTCCGTACTTGTACGCACCACGAGTACTCTAGGAGGAACGCCTCCTACCGCAGTCCTGAGAACAGCGTTTGAAACTCAAGTAGTTGAGTTTAGTATTAGCATCCAATTAACTCAACTCAAGTAGTCAAAATAGCTATTCAACTTAACTCGCCAAGTAATTAAATAACTTAGGTACTAATCATGTAGTCGGAATATGCAGGTCCGAGTCTCCGTAGCGCGCTCGGGACCCTAGCAGAACCCTAGAGAGTGATTTAGAGGCGGATATCTTAACTTTTGGATTATATAAGCTAGTCTATAGTGATATTATTAGCCATTGTACCTTTTAGCTATAATAGTTAGTTATAGAAGTACTAGAAAAAGACATTCCTTTGTTTTTTAGTCACGTTTTAAGTACTACTTGAGTACTATTTGAGTAGTCAAATCTACTACTTAATAAGTTGAGTTGTAAACGCCCACTTATATTCAGCTCAACTTAACTCGAGTAGTAATTGAGTAGGGTTGAGTAGCTGATTAGTTTGTTCGAACGCTGCTTGAAAAGTTTTTCTATGATTTTTGTACCAATGTACCGTTACCGTTCCATTTAACTTTTTCGATAGTGCAGGTAAATTTAGGTGTTAAGAAGCGGGCCGCTTGAGAATTTGAGTTCTGATCTAAAAACTAGATAAATTACGTTTTAATTTAGCATCTTCCCTTAAAGCGCTTAAGGTTTCTAGCTGTGGGGTTAAAAAATATATGAAAGGAAAAAAGAAATTGCGGTCTGACCGCTTAGTTCTTCTTTTAGAGTATTCAGGCGTTGCAGGGATAGGCTGTTGAAGTATTTTAATAGATTTTACGAAGTAAAAGGTCAAGGAAGCAAAAGTGGAATTCCTAGATATAAATATTAATATAAGAAACGTGATTACTTTACGAAGAAATAGGCTCGATTGAGTCAAATAGAAGCTAATGGATTACTAAATCAATCAAGCTGGGATGGCAGGTTAGCGAGTTGTGTATATATGCTTGGCTCGCGCCCCTTCTCGATTAATTCGAAGTCTGAGTGAGGCGACTTTAGCAGATATCTCTGCTAGCTTCAAGAGAACAAAATTCGCCTAAATAATAATGAACATCTCCCAGAAGTAACAAGCCCAATAATGATTAGCGAGTTCAGCCTTTCCCGTAAAACACATTCCACGGAAAGGTATCAGTCAGGTTTCCCCGGTACTCGTAGCGATCTCTCGCAACGTCACTCGTCACTTCAACGTCACATCTATCGCGGAAATTTTTGGCCATGGTCTTTCCCATGAGATGAATTCTTCCGTCGACGGGAACCAAGAAAAAAAACACTCGGGAGAAGAATCACATGTTCCCAGAAGCCTCGGTTCGGTATCACAATTCTTGTTTTCTCCTGACAAATGGAAGTAAGCTTCACGACGAAAAATCTTGTCACCGCCACCCATTCATTCAATTTCCAAGATCACCAAAACCGAACCCAATCCAATTTGCGAATCGCGAGCAAGATATCCAATTGATCACCATCAAATGAAAGAAAATCAATTTCATTTCCCCTACGAACAAAAAAATGTGACCTCGTATTCCCCCGCAAACCAATCAACAACCCGCATTCCTCCAATCCATCCACACCACACACGCCCAATCCCACGCACCATCACCACAACACCCCAATCACGACCTTCAACAGACGGTCCCTCAGTCTAAACCATAACAAGCATAATATGCAGGCACCAAAAAAAAAAAAGCAAAAAAGCAAATCCAGGCTGACAGCCAATCTCTCGGCCGAGATTAAACCCAACAAGGATCACGCAGGCGCCCCTGCATTAGTGCGCACGCAAGCCACCAATTGCAAAAGAAAGAGCAAAGTTCAAGCTTCCCGTCATCACATCACATCCATCCCATCCTATCCGTGCCGGCTAAATGGCCTCGCGAGGTAGGCAAGAAAAAAAAAATCTCATTCCCTGGTTCGGGGGGTTTGGTTGGAGGCCCCTTTGGAGGGAGTTTCCTGGTGTGGTGGTGTTTGTTGGAAGTTTGCTGGTGATAACAGGGTCCTGGCCTGGATGGATGATAGGGATGGGTTTGGACTTTGACTCGGTTGACAGGTGACGGTATCCTGGCATAGTTGGTGAGTGGTGAGTGTAAGGATCAGCTTTCTAAGAAAAGACATGAACAAAATTCGCAAATTGAAATTGACAATGTGTGTATCGTGGTACAGGTCTAATGACAACCAACAACTCACAAGTGTTTACGCACGTCATCGGCAAGAAACAACGGACTGGTAGACTTACTACGGTACGGTGTCTACTTGCTGACGACAAGAAGAGCCCATCCTCCTTTTCGAGGTCAGACCATTCATCCCCCGTACACCCTTCTGAAATTGGATGTTGGGTACAAGAGAGGGTAGGAAATAGGTTCTGTGATGCGTGCCCTCAACGCGAGGCAACCACGCAGCGACATGACGACGGTGGTGCAACGGATCATCTTCAACCTCACCTAGGGGTTTCTTGTGAACACGTCTGCCTTCTTATTCGCTTCCATTGAAGGGGTTGTGTAGACGATGTGCAGGAGTTGGAAGACCGTGTGGTGGAAAGGTACAAGTTGATTATATAGTAATATATTGATGGGCAAATTCTGTCAGCAGTGCTTGATTTAGAAATCTGGCGCGGTAGAGGATGCAGATGAAAGGAGCGAGGCATCCAACTCCATCCGCCAAATTATACATACACCCTTCACCAAGTTGGGCAAGGCTTCGGGGTTATACAAGTCCAACACATTGAAATTTGTTTGCTTTTAGGGATAAACAAGCAACACCTCCTAGGATAAACATTTGTATGACGGAAACCGAGTCTCACAAATTCGCAGGAATAAGCAAAAAAACAATGGTCATGAACAGATTTTATGGGATGCTGGGCCAAAACTTGGTCTCCGAGCAATGCTTTCTGTCTCTCTTCATTTGATTCCAGAACACTATGATACAAAGATTATTGGAAACCATTGAATTGACAGGCGTAAAGCACTGTAAATCTAAAAAGCTGATATCGAACTTTTCCTTGCCCGACCAATAAACACACCCAGCGTTCACTCATTATTTAAGAATCTATTAGCACGAAAAGAAGGTTGTCCAGAGGAAGGAGAATGCAGGTGGAACAAGAGGATGTGCTTGTTGTAGATTTGACCAGATTGGGTTCTGCTTCCGTAGATCGCAGCTCAAAACAATATTAAACAAAACACGCCGACCTCGCCTCCAGACACCTGGAAAGACCGAACACTCTGGGGGTATGATGGGATCCTCGTGACAGCCAACGTAGTGGTGACACTCTCGATCCCTCAAACAATTACAAGAAAATATTCGACCTGCATGCGTGGTCATTGTCGTCAAATTAACTCCATAGAGCAATGCAGAACACCGTATATTAAGCCCACAGATTCCAGCACCATCAAATCCACTCCGACCGCTTTCCTTCCATCATGAAATTACCGAGATTTCGGTGAGATTCGTATATTTCGTGACGTATCGGACAGCCGAACAGCAGTAGACCGCTTACAAAACGTAAGCGGCGAGACCAAGGAGACCAGCAAGGGATGCGCCAGAGAAGGCGAAAGCCTTGTTGCCGCTTGAGGCGCTGATGGTGGATGGGGTGGCGGATGGGAGGCCGACAGCAGAGGTGGTACCAACGGAAGTTGGCTTGGAACCAGCTGGGGTGGTGGCAGCTGGGGTGGTTCCGTTAGGGTAGACTGGGGCCTTGGTTGGGATAGATGGGACGGCAGAGGAAGAGGAGGAACTATGATTATAATTAGCATATTGTTAGGAAACTGTGTGGGAACAGTTGAGGGGCTACCAGGTGTTGCAGTACACTACGGCTGTGGTGGTAACTGGAGTGATAACTGTGCATGGGCAGTTGGTGATGGTCAAGGTGGTGCTCTGAATAGATTGTCAGTCTGCTATTCTTAATTGCCAAGTAGATCGGTTTCAGGAGGCTCCATTACGCGCAAGATGATATCCTCGCGTACGGTTCCATCATCAAACCCGCCCAGATCGTGGGGTGCTTACCTCAGTGGCAGTGTATGTGATACCGTTGAAGGTCAACTCAGTGGAGACTGGGCAGACAGTGGTGTAGGCGGTGTGGATCTCGGTGGTGTAGACGACAGTACCGTTGCCGTGAGCGTATCCGGCAGAGACGGTGGATGCTGCGAGAGCAATGACGGCGGCAATGGAGTATTGCATTTTGAGGGATTGAATTATTTACTTTGGAAGTAATTAGGTTGGGAGATTATTATAAGTTTGGGAGAGTTGGAAGAGTGTGGGGTTGTTGAAAAACGAATGTGATAGACAAAGTGTCTTGCGGATGTGTGAGAGTGAGGGTGAGGAGGGAAGGGTTGAATTGCTGGGAGGAGTAGAAATATATACAGTATCAATACCTCAGGGGGGTTGACAGGGGTGACAGAAGCGAGCCGGCAACGTTGGGCTTGGCATCTCCGAAGGCGGTTAGCGGCTCACTTGATTGACTTGCAGTGGGGCTCTTCATTTCGCGGCAAGATGGGGTCGAAGAACGGCTCAGAGACAGCATGGGGGATTGCTGCGCAACGGCCTAGGAGTGGTCCCTCAGGGTCTGGGACCTGCAGTTCTCGCTGTTCATCCCAAGCGAGCCCAGCGCCTGCGAGCAGGGTAAGGCCAGGGGAGAAAAGGGGCACCCCGGGCGAACCGATGCAAGTGCTGGCTCATGCCTGCGAGCTGGCCATGCTGGTTGGCAGTGGGTGGCCACTCAGTGACCTGTCAAGGACGATATCGCACAATCCACAGGCCGTTCTGCGGTCATTTACAGCATCCGGGTTCTGCTTCAGGCTCCTGCGGATTGCCTCTTCAGGCCTGTGCCTGTGTCGCCACCGGGCTCGTTGGGTGGGTGTAGGTACTTCGAAGTAGAAGGGGGCTGTACTACTTCACAACAGAGGGTACGAAGAACCGGCAGCAAAGGCTAGAGGTATACTTCGTCCCAGGCATAACAAATGTTATTCTTTAGTGGGTATATAGGGGACTTTTCAGTGGAACACAGGGTAAGCACGCCCAATAACTTTAACATTTGTTAGGCCTGGGACGAAGTACCTTTACAAACATATCCAAAATACCGACATCCTCCGTACACCTCATCAGCGCTTAGATATGAAGGCCAGGTAGAATCCCGGTAGCTGTGCGATTGAGTTCCGTTCTCTTCTGTTTCTTGACTCGTCCTCTCGTATCCGCTACGTTACGGTAAACATCTTGTTTATTTCCATCCACGCCTCAGGCCTGCCGGTATCAGTCAGCATTCAAATCAAACGCTGCGGTGGCAACCCTTCGCAAAAGGGGCCTTGTCATGTACTCGCAGAAGGACGGCTATGGAATCTGTATTCTGGACAAACTTGGCTGCGTTGGCGGTGTAGTGCACATTTCACAGCGTCCCGCTAGACCTTTAACAGCCTTGCAACGTCCAATTTTGATGTCTGAAAGCTCGAGATATCGCTGGAAAGTAGAACTACCGTACTACGAGTAACTCACTGGACTGAGGTACTCAAGAAAGTCAGGTTCATTTCCAAGAGACGTCTCTTTTCCATCTTTGTACTCCAGACCCCGGAGATGCAGGGCCGGTTTGGTGGTCTCCGCTGTAGCCTTTCCTTTCTGCTGGAACCCGATATCCATGCCGTCTTTACTTCTCCTGTACATTTTTCCGAAATTCCGTGGAAATAATCTCGCGTAACAAAACATCCTCCCACAAGTAGAAGTAAATTTACTTCTAGTGCGAAGTAGCATCCACTAGGTACTGTACTGCTGCTAGGCACTGAAAACTTCACAAGATCCTCTTATCCCTTATCTCTTGCCTTATAACCCCGATCCTCTTTCTTGGTCCGCTGCGGGAATGATCCATCGCGGCTCCAGGCTTGCACAGGGAAGAGAGCAAGTGGCTCTGGGGTTTTTCTTGGCCATAGGCCCTGGCACTGGAGAAGAAAAGAAGAGAAAGAAGCATCCAAGAGCCGACTGGGTCTTGTGTTCGTCTTCTGCTTCAGTGTCTGCTTCTCTGGCGGTGGGATGATGGTGGTGTGGTCAATAATATCCGTGCGGAAGTTGGTTTTCATGCGGCATCTTGTTAATTTGTTGGAAAACACCAATCAGAAGAGTTACCCTGGACCTTCGTGAACAGAAATCAGAACGCCCCAGTGAAGATCTGAGATTACAAAGTACAGAGCGTACACTCGGTGTTTTTGTATTCGCTAGAGGACAAATCAAGCTTCGAAGTGGGAAGCGAACCTTCGCGGCGGCAAACGTTGGCTGGACACTGGACTGGATGGGACAGATTTGCTGTCCACCGTGTCCAGTTTGGACGGTAATCACGCACAATCTCCATGTTCCCACAAATAGTGCCAGCTCTTGTTTGCGGATTGATTTGCTCGTGCAACCACATTGCCTGTCTTGGGCCATTATTGTTTGTGCTTGTTTTTGTTTACGCTTCAACGGCTTTGGTGCAACGGCAGGAGCATTGCTTAGCGAAAGGTCGATATCGACAATACTTCGAAGTAATAATGCCACCCGTACGAATACACAGCTCTGGAGTCGGTGACGCCCTGGGTGCCCTGTTTTCCCCTTCTTCTTCAACAATATCTTTCCTCTTTGGGCCACGTCAAGCTGGCTTTTAAAAGTACTTCGCAATCATAATGGCCGGCTTCCAACCTAATCGTCCGGCGGTCTAGCCTTTCAAATTCCAACCGGCACAGCATCTGCATCCGCATCCGCATCCAAGCAAGCCGACAACACAAATGAGCTCGTGTTCCTTATCTCGACTATCGGGGATTTTCGACCTTTCACTTCCACTTCCATTCGAAGAAAGATCTCCCTGAACCAAGAGATTCTTGCTCCATAGAAGCCCACCGAGACCGGGGCTGTTAGTTCCACAGGGCGCCATCGATGGCAATCGATCTCAAATTCGCAAACCATCCATCATCCCATCCCAACCCATTGCCCAAGGGTCCTTCATTTGTCCTTTCGTGGAGATGTGGACGCGTTTCTCGGCGCGTCGAACAATTCGATTTTCAGGGTTCGGAAGGATACATGGTGATGGTGCCAGTGATTGGTTGCTTCCTTCCGCACTCGGCTTTCGTGGCCAATGAAACCCCGTGACCCGTCACCCAAATCCACCTTTTTTCATTTTTGTCCATGGTCGAAGAAAATCTATTTTCATTCCATCTGGTTCCATCCCGCATGTGCCTAATTCGGACTTTCAAGCCGACCGCACGCGACCATGGGCCCACATTCATAATTCGTCGCAATTTCATTCATATTTCTCGTATTCAGAAAGTTGTGAATCTTTCCGTTTGTTCTCTCGCTTCTCTCTGGCCCAGGACATGACATCCCCGAGCGTTCATCGCATCGACTTCATTCTCGAAACATGTTTTCACATCCTCTTTTGAGTTTGGATAAGGATATTTGCCGAGACATGTTCCAAAATGATGGTCAAAACTCAATCCAGCAGCTTACCGTACTGTAGAAGTAGAAGGATTAACGGTGAGAGTATGGTTTGTGCATTAGGCACGGTGCAATTATGATTACAACACCACCAAGTATACAAAGTCCGGGTGGAGGTAATTGGATATAATCATAACTAGCCAGATGTACTCGAAAATGAGGTGGTTGTTCTTTCGTGTTACTGAACCTCTAATGGCTTTCTCTACCTGCAGGTTTTTAAATTCCAGGAGGCCATTCAAGATATGGTCTATTGAGTCAGCATATATGAGGAATATGCGTATTGGATGATACTTTGATTTTTTTGATTGAAACCGCGGATAAATACGACAGGCTCACATGCTTTAAGGCCTTGACACATACAGAATACCGTACTGGTCTTACTGATATTTCTGTAGCTAAAAGCAAGCAATAGCTTCTTGTTGACCCATTCATGGACACATGGAGCATGTCATCATACCCTGACTTGTCCCCACGAGCGTTTATTGTCTTCCCATTCATCCCTACCGTGAGAGTATTTTTTGATGTTGTTCAATCATTCGTTCTGGTCGTCAATTATTCTCAAGAACCCATTATGTGATAAACTCGTCAAATAATCAACAAGGTCACCATGGGTTTGCCGACAGGTTCAGCCAGAAACTTTTGACTTGCAAGCTCATTCTTAAAGAGTGTATTTATGAGGGGAGGTCTATCGATCGTGGCAGCCTTAGCTATTCTTGTTGGATGATATAGCTTCTGTAACCTCCAGCTAGTACAGAAAAACCTCGCTACAAGGATACTCACCATAAGGATATCCTCATTTATATCCTTAGCATTTACGGCCCCGACCATATCCTCGTAGCGAGTCTTTTCTGTAGTTGTTTAGAAAGCTGGCTACGAACTCTACATTTCACAGCCAGCAATGTGGTTCGTACTTGCCTTTTCTCTCCTTGTTATTCAGTTCTCACCTCTTCTGCTTTCTTGTTTTACACTTACTTCCCTATTAGATTATATCACAAGTGACAAACCTGTGATAAGCCGAGTACATTCTACGTTATTGGTTGGAAAATGAAAGGGTGTGGAGATTACCTTCGCTTACAGTATTGATATTGCTGGTTTAGAACGAAAGCAGCTTCTGAAAATCCATTCAGCCTTTTTTGCCCTCGACAATTAGCAAGCTCAGTAGGAGGGTTCTAGATGTCTTACTATATCAAGAGCTCCCAATCGAGAGCGAGGTTCAAGTCTCTAACTGGGAAACGCCCAGAGGGAGAGACGCGGTGGTTTCTGGTGGACCACAATGTGCTTGCCGGTCCTCTGGGGCAAAACATGCCATATTTTGATTCTGAAGTCACATCAAACCCCTTGTTCAAATTCGGATTATACGAAGCTTGAAGCAACATTGTTTCGATTGATCGGTGGCAGGATATATGGAGCACTTGAATACTTTTGCTCGAAGCCTAACGACCAATTAAAAACAAATTTCCAGTTATACACACGTCAAATGACAGAATATCTCAAATGATGAGGATTTACTGCGGTACTGCTTATTTGCTACTGCCCGCACCCCTCCGTCTTGCATAACACGATGGTGAAAACAACACACAAAACCGTAAAATACAACCCAAGAACTCGTAAGTTATGCCGTGCTTATTTTTGCTACACCGCTCATGGAGATATACTTTAATACCGACAAGAGGTTTGCGATACCAATAGCTCTGTCCGAAGGTTGTTCATGCTATCTCCGAACCCTTCTTTCATCACCGATCGGTTCAAGTTCAGCCCTACGGACATCTCCACCAATGGAGTGAAATTGAAGCACTGCAAGTCCGATTATTCATCTGTTTAGTTGGCTGTGGTGCTGTGTGACATCGACGGCCATGACCAATGATTAACTCCATTTTCTTCTCGGCGATGAGGGGGTTCTGCAGGCTTTCACTTACTATGCGTTTGCATGGTGGTGAAGAAGCAGGTATATGTATATCAGACAATTCCTTTGAAGGGAATCTTGTGATAATCAGCAATTCTCTTCCATCATCGAGCACACACACTCCATCATAACACACATCCACCAGTGATATCGCAATCCAGATATAAATTGTACCCAGCCAACAATCACATTTTCTCACTCCAAATTCCACATAATTGCAATGGCATCAAATAATTCCGGAGCCGGAAAGACGGTGCTTGTTACTGGCGCTAGTGGATACGTTGGTGCTGAACTCTTGAACTCTCTTCTCTCAAGAGGTTACAACGTCAAGGCCGCTGTACGAAAAGACTCATCGGCCGACAAAATCAAGAATTCACACAGCAAATACGCTAGTCAACTTTCGTTTGCAATCGTTAAGGATCTACAAACCCCAGGTGGACACGACGAAGCCGTCAAAGGCGTCGAGGGAGTAAGTCATTCCGTGAATCAATTTTCTATTTTGGACTAACAACCACCAGGTCTTCCACCTCGCATCTCCATTCGTCTTGGAGGTCAAGGATAATGCAACTGACCTTCTCGATCCCGCCATCAATGGAACCGTAGAACTCCTAAAGTCCATTCATAAAAACAACCCCAACGTCAAGAGAGTCGTTCTCACTTCCTCATTTGCCTCCATCCTTGATATGAGCAAGGGCAATCGCCCAGGCTATGTCTACACAGAGACCGACTGGAACCCATGCACCTACGAGGAAGCGGCCGACAACAACACACCCGGTGCAGTCTCCTACTGTGCATCCAAAGCACTCGCCGAGAAAGCAGCATGGGACTACATCCGCGACAACACGCCAACCTTCAGCATGACAGCCATGTGTCCACCCATGGTTTACGGTCCCAGCAGTACTCTCTTCCCAGGCTTCGCGCACCTCAACACCTCTTCGGCAGACATCTACCGTCTCTTCAACGGAAGCTCCCAGGAGGTCCCCGAGACCACGTTCTATGGATGGGTTGACGTGCGGGATTTGGCGGAGGCAGAGGTTCGGGCGTATGAATCTGATATGGCGGCGGGTCAGCGGTATCTTACTGCCTCGAGTGGTTTCACGTATCAGCAGATTGTGGATATCATCCGTGAGGAGTTCCCTGAGAAGAAGAAGTCGACCCCGGTTGGACGGGCGAATGAACCTTTCCCGGTGGTTTATCATCCTTCGAATGAGAAGGTGAAGAGGGAACTTGGGTTGGAGTTTAGGAATTTGAGGACTACGATTGTGGATATGGTTAATCAGATGATTGGTTATGAGAAGGAGGCTGGTAAAGCTTGATGTGCTTTTCTTTACCTTTTGCTCGCCTTTCCTTGGTGTTCGAGGGGTATTTTGGAGGCAAAACGACTGAAACTTTGGAGGAGCTTTATGAGTTTGTGGATAAATTGACTGGGCTTTCCCCGAGGAGCATTTTCTTGGAGCCGGATGACAAAATAATTGATCTTTTTTTTCTTAAAAATCTACGTGGTCGTTTTTGAAATTTGAGATGTGAGAATGTTGTACATATTGCTTGGCAATGGTATTCTTTCTTCCGAGAAACTCACGTAAATTCTCTACTATCTCTGCATGCGAAGTTATTCTCGATCTTACAGTGGGATGGTTGAATGCCTTGAGTATAGCTCGCATTCTAGTAGAGCTAATGATGCTTAGAGGCAGGATCCTTCAAGCGTGAAGATACATTGTGCTAGAACTCTCAGTAGAACAGGGTCGTCGGTTGGCCCATGTCGTGTAAAAATCCAGAACTATACCATTCATATACCCCAAAGATTTAAGGTCATCAAACCAAATGTTTGGAGCTTTCAGGTACGCCGTCGAGGCTACTTGGGCGCGCGCGAGCGATATTCACAACTCTCACAACGATCCGAGCACTGGAGAAGTTGGCGTCTGACTAGTTTGACTTGAATGCTGAGTACTGTTGCTCGAAGCTGTGCATATGAAAGCAATAATAAATGCTGTATCTTTTCGCAGTTTGCGGGTCTTTGGGGTAGGAAGGGTAACAAGACCCGCCAGAGTTCATCGGACGAGTTACCCAGCTTCTCTGATCCTCAAGGACGTCATTCTAAAAGCTATACTACTTTACAAGCGATACATTGATCTTCAAAAATTACCTCAGCGCTATTGTTAGAGATCGCAATCTTGAGCAGTACTTTCCCTGGCACTGTTTCGCTATATCATAGCTAAGGTGGGAACTGAACTTAGCCAAAGAAAGACTCAAGTCAACAGCTAGATCATTTCGCTCTCAACCAGGAACTCATACAAGTTGCCGGGGGTACACAGCCCACGACAATACCTCGCGAAAAACAATCCACACACATGACCGCAATAACATTTACCCAAACCACACCACCGCCCTTCATAGCCCCAAGTAAGCGAATTCCTGGCATCTTTCAAGTGAAAGCGCCTCGCTGGCCAAGTGGTTACGGCGTCAAGTTATGTATCCTTCGTCTAGGAGCACCGACGTTAAACTGCCCCCTATACCACTGGGAGACGTGCACCCTGTAACCCGAGTTTGAATGTGGGAGGAGACCCTAGGATTTGCCTACCTAGGGAGAGTCGCACCACTGCGGCATAGGGGGGAGACTTACGGATCTGCGGAGACGTGCTGGTGGCTCAGACACTAGTAGATCCCGAACTCCTCTTTGCAGTTTATTTTTCTGGGGTCTATGGTTTTTTTTAGACGCTGTAGTGTTGTAGTGTTGTAGTGTTGTAGTGTTGTAGTGTTGTGGTGTTGTGGGTTGTGGGGGGAGGAATCTTTTTGGAACTTTTGGGTGTTTTTGGATGGCGATTATATATTGTGTGTGGTGTTGTGGCGTTGAGGGATGGTTGGTTGCTTTCAAGTGAAGTATGTCAATAGTGACTCAGGGGCAAATCTCGCTTAATTGTGAAGCTGGGTTGGTGAATGCGAAAATCCAAAATACATTGGCCGAGAACGCCATAATTTGTTTACCACTAAGAACTACGTCGATATCATGTAAGCTAAATATCCTTTGACGCGCTTCCGCTGCTAGGATCTTACTTCATCAACAACCTCAATCCCAACCACATTAATCAACCCATAGTTGCAGCACGCAACATAACCGCTATTCTCGCAATTACAAAATTAGCGCACGAAATCCACGAAATCTCAGAACCTCTATCTGACAGACTTATCAATCCTTTCGTAACCACCAAGTCCGCTGAACTATTGACATCAATGGCGTAAGAAACCCCCTCACGGCCATAACAAGCAAAGACTGACATCCGCAGTGGTTCCAGAAAGCCTCCCCCAATCCCGGAAAGTCCAACAGCAGAGAGATTGGAGAGCGCCATCAACCGTCTCCGAAAATGCATGGAAGTTGATCTCGAGCGACGCATCAGTTATGCAAAGACGAGAGCAGACGAACGACGTCGCGCGAGTCTGAATTTTGTCCCCAGCCATCGGCCCAGAATCGCATCTCCATTGACGAAATCTGTGGTATCTAGCCAAATGAAAAGTTTGGGGGGTATGTAATCTGTTCTGTCATGAGCCTGGAGTGAAGCTGAGAAATTGTAGATGACACATACGATGCTACAAACAATGACAGCATCATTGTTCGACCACCCGAAACCCCGCGGCGCCCCGCTGGTCATAACGGACGTGGAGGAGACGATGATGGTATGCAAACCAGGAAGACAGACCATCGGATTAATAAGCTAAACAAAGAATAGACAATTCTTCCGACAACGACAGTGTCATAGTCAAACCTTCCTCCGCTCGAAAAGAGCTCCTTCTGGCACAACACGATTCGGTACAAAGTCTCAGTAACCAGACCGCTGGAAATCTCGAGAAGAGAAAGGAGCTGTTCATGTCCGATCTTCGTCTTCTTGAACAGCGTTGTCGTGGTCTGGCTCAGGAATCGGAATTGGTATTCGGAGATGGTGCGTCTTGGTTGGAGGAGGTATCTGCTAAGTTTCGTCGCATGTCTTATAAGGCTACGGGGGAGATGAAGGATCAACTTGATGATTTGAAGTGAAGTATGGATCTCACCTTGTGGGGAAAGGAGGGGGCTGAAGAAGAGAATTCCGCTGACGAATTTCTGTGGTTGAGCAATTCTGATTCGACGATATTACGTATGAATTGATGACAACCTGGAATATTACACATGGGTAGAGTTATTTGTCGGGAATGATTTTCATTACAAAAGGGCGTATGATACCGTGATAAATCGTCTTTATAGCATTTGGGTAGGACGACAGTAGATAGCGCTCAAGAGTAGCAGAAGTTAGCAAAATCACCTTTCAGGCTACTCACAGGTCAGCTTTCTATGGGTCCCTAGGTAGCAAAATTCAACTGTGATCTTTAACGTACCTTATAAGATAGCAACCTAAGAAGGCCTTCGCTGCAGAGTTCTAGCCACTCAGAGTCTCTAGACAACCCTTAGTACTTCGTACCATCCACTGTCGTCCCACCCAAATGCCATAAGAGACGATTTATCACGGTATCTTATTCGTTGGGATTTGTGATGTGTGCTATTGTAGCCATCAAATCAACGAATTGGTCAACGCTACCAGTGATTCGTCAATTAGTACGCATGGTGGATTAGACGGTATTATTTGATCACTTCTAGGATGCGAATTATTCGACACTTATATAAATAAAGGAAGTTGGCTTTTAATTAAAGTACACCCCTCGCCCTCGCGGCCTCGCCTAAGAAGGTAAATAAAGCACCATAAAAGAAGTAATTAAAGTACAAACTCTACGACCTAAAGAAGTAAAAAGTGAAGCTATTCCTAGATGCGATTATTTCGTATTTAGTTTACGTCCTCTACTAACTCTCGCTCCACCTGTCCCCTAGCCTCTGTACCCCCACTCGTTCTACACCGTAACAAGCCACAACAAAAGGTCATTATGGAATGGATTATTGTATTTGTGACGGCCATAATGGTACTCCGCAAATCTATTGTACGGCGATTGCAATAGTCTAGTTGGTCAAACCGGAAAATCCGGGGTTACCATAGCACAGATGGCCTAGGTTGCGGCGGTGGACCTCCTGAATTTCCTCCGCCGCTACGGATTACTTGGTACTTCGTCCCAGGCATATTACTTCGGTAATTGTAACTTTTACGGGGGTTTTACCCTGTTCTTCACTAAAGCCACCATAGCAAACCTGATTCAAGAGACCTTTCACGCTCCCTTCTTCTAATGTAGGTAGGTAAGGAAGAGTCACAAACATTCGCTCCTACTATACATTGATCATTTGATTACACATTACACATATCCCTAGCCTCAGGAGAATATCAAGCATTATCGCGCTGGTGTGCTCAATTGCGGCTTTAGCTACAGGACCACAATCCAAAATGCCATTGGTTAGAAGGGTGTGCAAAATACCGCCTTGGGTTTAGTAGGTAGGTGGACTCCCCATCCACAGCTATGTTCTTCCAGAGGTCATAGGTAGAAATGAAGTCTGCTTAGCGGAGTTCCCGCCTCTGCTGTTCGTTGAAGTTAGGTCAGCTCTTCAAAAGCCAAACACTGATACCCAATCAAAGCGCGATACCAAGAGTCGAAGAAGCTGTTCGAACTTCGCAGTGGAAGCCCCTCCCTTCTTTGTAGAATATAGTATGCATATTGTATTTGCCTTTCTAATACTAGCGAGTTGCAGAAACAGAGACAAGTGCTGTTTGAAATAGCTAGGTACTTGCCTCATAGGCTCGTAGTCTGCTCTTATAAACGGCAATTTGCTATCCTGCAGCATAAGTCTCTGTTGAAAAATTTGAATTGCCCCAAATGGAGACCCTATACTTGCTTCAACTGCGAATGGAGAAATCGCTCCAACCCAGGTCATATCACCACCTTGAATCTTCTCAGTCTTTACCTTCTCAAATAACTTGTCGAAATTCTCTCTGTTCAGGTAATTTGTCATCCAAGCCACTCGCTCCAATAACTCTCTCTTCGTTTCCATATCAGGGATCATCTGGTGCATGGTATGCTCTGGGGGGGTATTCCTTTTCATACATCGTGTCCATCTCCTTGATGTTCTCCCTCCAGTATTGGTCGCAAAACAAACAGAAGGCCTCTACTTGTTGCAGGGTGATGGGCTTCTTGTCCAGACGAACAACCAGTACCGTACCAATCATTTTATTCCACTCAATGGGGTTTGGAGGGCCAAAGTCTTTTTCCATACTATCAGCGACGCGATGCATAAAACGAGCGTTGGGATTGGAATGTGGGTTAGTCTGAGCAGGCCAGCCTTGATTGAAGAAGCCATGCTTCCCGACGAGAAGAGGAAGTTTCATACGGAGTGATATCATAGATTCCAAGTCGCTCTCTGTATCGCGGTAAATGGGATGTGTCGAGGCGCAAACGCGATGTTGGACGAAGGTGGGCTTCTTGAGATATTGTTGGTCGCCGAGACTGGTGACATTAACTCCTATAACCACATCTAATTCCCCTTTGTATTCTTCAAAAGCATCGTTACCTGTTCCTGCTTGTCTTGTCTCTGGGACAGGGTAAGATGTTGGCGTGTCCTCCCATACCATGAGGTCACGCTTTTCGCTGATATTGTTGAAACCGTAACCGCTGATTTTGCCATATAATCGGAGACAGTCCGCAAGAACTCTCAAGTCGGCAGCTTGAAAGTCTTGAAGGGTGTTTGCTTCTTTGTTTCCTTCCATGCGGGCACAACGAGCAACGTAGATGTCACCTCTCCAGTCATGACCCGGATCTTTCCCAAAGTATTTCTTCATCGCTTGGTTTTTCGCCGAGCCATCGAAGAGAAACTTCGGTCGGAAATAAAGCTGAAGTTCGTGATCCAAGACGTACTTTCTATCCCGTGGATACTGCACACGGAGCCATTCAACCACCTGCTCCGAGCTGTCTAATCCAATGCCAGGGAAAGCATCGCCATTATAGAGCTTGTACGACTTGCTCCACCACGTAAGTTCCGGGGTTGAGGAGTTGTCGGGGAATTTGAGGATAATGCAGGCATTGTGATCCTTCTCACGAGGATTTGCTTGGATGAATTCGCCGATCTTCTTGCATAGGTGTTTATGGTACTTGTAATCTGTCTTCTGGCATGATCGCTCACAGTAAAATGTTGATTTGAAACCTGAGCGTTTGAGGAGGGGTACATTGTTGGGAGCTGTTTAATTTGTTGCAAGAAGCGCAGTAGTTTTTGTTCTGTGGAAAACTTGTCGGATATCACCCAAAGAAGAATCATCTGTTGCGTTATTTGACGAATGGACTGAATACTCACTGGGTCGTACTTTGGCAGTCCCAGGGGAATTGGGGAAGACATCGTGCTGGCGTTGAAGAACTGTAGAGTTTGATTGGATCCAGGCGTTTCTGTTGGAAATGAATCAAAAGTCAGTAGAAGAAACTAGAGTATCTTGGTTGCGAGGTATTTCCACACGAAAGCGAAGCGTCACTTGAAGGTGAAGAATCGCTGCGTGAACGGTTGTACCTACTAAAGTATGCAAGGTAGGTAGTCTCTCGTTGGAGGGGGTTCTCCTGTAAGATGGTAATTCAATTGTCCGCAATGAGATTCAGTAGATACTAGAACGAAGTTGTTGAGTATTGAGTTGTAAGATAGTAGAGCTTGAGGGTTGAAAGCTGAGTTCGAAGCGCTTAACCAATACTTAAGCGAGTCAATGTAGCTTCGTGAAGCTGAAGGCCTATAGAGATGAGAAGAGAAAGCTCTTCCAACTAGGAAGGTACAATGTTCACTTTAATCCTACCACCAGGGAGCGCAAGATTTCACAACCGAAAACGAGTAAGAAAATCTTGGCTCATTAACTATAGCTATGTTGAATAACCTGAATTCGCAGAAAACAACAAAGAGAACTACCTACCTACCCACACCAGAAGAACCACCCAACATCCCACGACCCTGTTCCTCAAACCCCCTCCTTTCATACTTCTCAAATCCAATATCCAAGAGTCGGACTCTAAATACCATCCCAAGCCCACACAACCAAACCACTCAAGCATCTCCACACCAAGAGTCTAAAACTCTCGCTCACACACTCACACACTCTCTCAAAAACCCCAAAAACAAACACATAAATACCTATCACCAACAGTATCAACCCCAGTAATCTTACATACCCTCATATAGATACATCATTTACATCATTCCAAAAGAAGAGGTACCAGTAACCCATCTTACCTCCCATCCTTCCTTCCGTATTCAATTCAAGTCAATTCCATCCTATCGAACGTAAAACAGTCCAGATTTTCCTTGAAGCTACTATCAGAGCAGAAATGAAAAGGAAAGGAATAGGAAAGGAAAGGGATCCAAGTTATTCAAGTTCCAGAATTATTTATGATAAGGTCTACTAATTCACCTAAGATGCAGGAATTCCATGCTTGGAATATCTCTTAGAGATCTACCTAGCTTAAGTATTATATACAACTATTTACTACCTATATTAGATTAGATTATATTATACATCAAAACCCAGCCGTATCACGCAACAAGCCATACCTCAACACGCCAATTCACAATCCTTAATTCCAAATACCTACCTAGCTACTCGTCCTCAACAACCCCAAAGACCCGCAAAAAGCAATATAAACATCCACACCACATCCACACTATATCCATCCACTCCCCACTCACCACTCACCACTCACCACCCTTAACCCCTACCTGTAATCCATCACCCCCCACAGGATTCTTCCCCAAACTCTCAAACCACTGCACCACACTCCCCACAAGAAAATACCACGAGCCACAAAAGGTCGCTAGCGCTCCCTGGTACACACACCCACGATTCTTACTCGCGAAGCCCAGGACGCCGCAGAGCGTGAAGCCGATTCCGCCGGCGAGTTTTCAGGCACCGATGTGCCAGCTGGGTGGAGTGGTGTGTTAGTCGGATCTTTCTTTCTTTCTTTGTTTGAGAAAGGGGGGAAGGGAGGGAAGGGAGAGAGAAAGAGGGAGAATGACGTACCCGAGGATACCAAAGGCGGACTTGTACCATTTCTTTTGGGTTTCTAGCATGAATAGTGTGCCGGAGATGATGAAGCCTGTTCCGCCGAGGACTTGGGGAAGCCACTGGTAATCATGATATTAGCTTTTGAGGGGCTTGTGGAGGGTAGAAATTTTGGTATAGGCACCTGAAGGCTCTTTTCTGAGGGAGTTTTCTAATAGTAGTGACACAGATGGAAGAAGAACTTCATGCCTTGAAATAATTGTCTGTTAAATAGGAGGACGTACGTATGCTCCATTCTGAGCTGCTGTTGAAGTCAACCGATCATAGATTGGTGGTAAGGCAGTAAAGCCAGATATCCAGAAGATTGTTGCGCCTGTGTTGTCACGTCAACTACTAAACCATAATTATTGGAGGATGATGACTAACCTATCATTTGAAATAGACTTGCAAGAAATCCTACTTCTCTCAAGTAGTGAGTCCGTAGCTCATACCAGCTAGGAAGCCAAGTCCAAGTGCGAGAAGACGACGGTTTGGCAACTGGTATGGGGGTTCCGAGTAATTTGGCTAAAGGAAGGTTAGTGCAGGTCTTCTATACATAACTCAGATATATCATGGTTAGGAGCGTATAGTTTTCCTGTAGCATACTGTCCTACTCTCCAGGAACACCTTTGTTTCGCAGCACGAACTCCAAAAAAGAGAAGAGAAGGTCACAAACAACAAAATAGAAGTATTCCACAAACCTTCAACAGCCATCCTCTTCCCCACCAAATTCCCCTTATTCCCATGATGATGCACACACTCCCCAACCCCAACCCTCCACCCCCCCTCCAACACCTCCT